TGGGGTTAATGTTACTGAGTTACCTCTTGCAGCCACCATGAAAAACTCATTGTGGGAAGAACCGCAAGAACCTCTTCACATGTAACGTGAAATCTAAAAGTTCAACTCAAAATTCCATCCTAACTGTACTCTTGCCAATATTTCCAGTGAAACAGAAGATGTACTGACTCAGAGCCAGTAGTGTTGGCAATTAGAGGGTATGGCACACTCTGCTGTTTCACCTTCCAAAGGAACCAGTTTTTCCCAAAAATAGTCTCCCAGTAGGGTCTCTAAGATTTCTTCTCAAAGCCTCCAAAGAGCCTCAGCCTCAGCTGTTGGAGCATTAGTTGTTCTTCTCACTACTACCACAAATCCCAGCTTTCAAAATGACAAATTCAACAATGGCACTGTCTATGACAGGCCAGTGAAATTTTCAAAGTCTCTTTTCAGTCCCCATCAATAAACGTTAGTTCATGAGTCAGTATCCCTAAAAGCAAGGGTCAGATGATAACTATGAGTTTCTGCAGTTGGCAGGCAAATGGTAACTGAGTAAAAGGGTAACCATAAAGCATACATTAAGAATAAAATGTGTCCCAGGTACCAACTCACATGGAGCCCACAGACACCCATAGGAACCTGGAAGCACCAGGGGGTCATTTTTATTCTTGTTTATAAGCCATTATGCTCAAGCTCAGACACTCTTACTTCCTGCATGGCACTAGTTGACATTTACAGTGGAGTTCAGGGAGGTAAGGGAGTTGAAACACAAAGTTCAGCATAAAAGATGATAGAAAACATATCTCAGATCTGTTGCTTGGCTTTGAGGATAATGGGCACCTGTTCAAAGTCAGACTCTTCTAGCAGAAAAAAATAGATATTTAGGGAAATCTACCATGTATCTCCAATCTTCAAAGTTACCAATCGATAGGCAAGTAGTAGTTATTTTAACAAAGAAGTATGTTTTAGTCAATTTGAGCTGCTATAACAAAATACAGTGGATTGGGTGGCATATAAACAACAGATATTTCTCATAGCTCTGGAGGCTGGAAGTCCAAGATCAGAGTGCCAGCATGGTCAGGTTCTAGTGACAGCCTTCTTCTGGGTTGCAGACTGCTAACTTCTCATTGTATCCTGACATGATGGAAAGACAGATAGAGAGCTCTCTGAAGTCCCTTTTATGAGGGCACTAATCCCATTCATGAGGGCTCCACCCTCAAAATCTAATTACCTCCCAAAGCCTCCACTTCCTGCTACCATCACATACGGAGTTAGGCTTTCAACATGAATTTTGGGGAGATACAAATATTCAGTTCATTGCATTCCATCCCTTGCCCCACAACATTTATGTCCTTCTCACATGCAAACTACATTAATTCCATCTCAACAGCCCCAAAACTCTTAACTCATTCCAGTGCCAACTCTGAAATCTAAAGTACAAAGTCTTATCTAAATACCTAAATCAAATATGAGTGAGGCTCAAGGTACGAATTATCCTGAGGCAAAATTCCTCTCTAGCTGGAAAGTGTGAAACTAAACAAGTTATGTGCTTCCAAAATACACTGGTGAGACAGGAATAGACAAGACATTCCCATTCCAAAAGGGAGAAAGGGAGGAAGGGATGATGGGTCCCAAGCAAGTCCAAAATCTAGCAAGGCAAGTTCCATGTGATCTTAAAGCTTGAGAATAATGCTCTTTATCTTGATGTTCTGCCTTCCAAACTCACCGAGGCAGCAGTCCTAACTTCTAGGCCCACTAAGGTGGCAACATCACTGCCACAGTTTGGTGGAGGGCTGCCTACACTGTGGCTCTCTGTAGTAACCCCAGTCATGCCTTGGTGGTGTCTGGATGGCAGTGTTGTACTCTCAGGTTTCTGGAGAGTGGCCCCACCCCTATGGCTCCCTGGGTATTGGTCTTACCTTTTGAAATCTTAGGTGGAGGCAGCCCTGCCTCCCAGGGCCTATGCACTCTAGGCCTACCGTGTGAGTAGCAGCCCTGATGATCTCTGAATCACCTTCAGGGTCCTTTGTCCCTTGTCTTGAAGAACAGTGCATGTTCACAGCAAAATTACTCTACGGTCTGGTCCTGTAGAGTCTAAGAAGTTGAACGGTCTTCCTTCATTTTGTCCCATTTTTGCCGTTTCATTTAGACCTAGCTGGCAGTGTTTCTGCTGGTACAATCCCATCTCTATTCCTGGATTTTGTTGAGATTGATTAAATCCATGGTTCACACTAATCTGCTTATCAAATAGTAAATTCACCATACCCTTAGTGTTCTCTTCCAAACACACTTTCTCATTTTTTGTAATACGGACAGGCAGAGAATTATCCAAATTTTAAGTTCTGGTTCCATTTTGCTCAACAATTCCATCTTCAATTAATTTCTTCCCTTTCACATTTTACTATAAGCAGTCAGGAGGAACCAATACACTCCTTTAATACTTTGCTTAGAAATCTCCTCAGCCAAAGATCCAATTTTATTGCTTGCAAGTTTTACCATCTACAAAACACTAGAACATGAATATAATTCTGCCAACTTCTTTGCCTCTTTATAACAAGGATCACCCTTTCTCCATTGTCCAATAATAACATCTTCCTCATTTCTGTCTGAGATCTCAACAGAATGGCCTCTACCATCCATATTTCTACCAATATTCTGTTCATGACTACTTAAGTATTGTCCAAGAAGATTGAAGGTTTCTCAATCATTCTCTTCTCTTTCTGAGTTCTCACCTTACTTGCCCTTTAAATGCACCTTAAAACTCTTCCAGCCTCTGGCCATTACCCAGTTCCAAAGCCACTTCTACGTTTTCACATATTTGTTATAGCAGCACCCCCAGTGCTCAGTACCAATGTTTGTCTTATGAGTTTGGCTTCTATAACAAAATACCATAGACTGGGTGGCTTATAAACAACAGAAATTTGTTTCTTACAGTTCCAAAGGCTGGCAGTCTGAGATAAGGGTGTCAGCATGGTCAGGTTCTGGTGAGAGCTCTCTTCCAGGTTGCAGAGAACTAACTTTTCATTGTATCATCACATGATGGAAAGAAAGTCATAGAGCTCACTGGGCTCTCTTTTATAAGAGCACTAATTCCACTCACGAGGGCTCCAATTTCATGACCTAGGCACTTCCCAAAACCCCACCTCCTAACACCATCACATTGGGGGCTAGAATTTCAACAGATGAATTTTAGGGGGACACTAAACATTCAGTCCATTGCAGAGTACAAAGAAAACAAATCTCGTATTAACAATAATGATTAAATAGCTAACATTTATTTAGGCACTGTGCACACTTTGCATTGATCACTTCACCCCTATTTTATAGTTTAGAAAAATTAACACTCAGAGAGGTGAAGTCACTTGCCAAAGTTACACAGCTAATAAGTTGCAAAGCTAGGGTTTAAACTTGGGCTCTCTGACTTCAGAGCCCATAATATTAACTTTTAAATAAGTCATGCCCTTGGACCAAAATAGATTTACAGAAGTAAAATGGAGTGACTAAGGAAATAATCCAAATGCAAATGTCTGCCTCACTAGTTACACCACCAGATTTAACCAAAACTGTCACCAATCTTAATCGTAGTAAAAATAGTCATTGTAGTATTATATATAATAGTGAAACGTTGGAAATAAGGCAAATTTCCAACAATAGTTGAATATTACATAAAGTATGGCTCCTGTAATAATGAAATTCCAATGCACCCATTATTCATTCATTCAGCAACCATGTATGGAGCATCTACTATATGCTATGCACACTTCTATGTGCTAGGGAAACAGCAGTGAACAAAACAATGTTCTTGACCCCCCACAAAATTTACAAAGAATTTTAAAGGTTATGAGAAAATGCTTATGATGAAATGTTAGGCTAAAAAGACAAAATTAGGTATCTAGTATGAACTAAACTGCACACACATAAAACAGATACATGTGCAAAAGAGAGTTAAAAGATAACATGTCAGTACTTTCAGTACATTGCTTCTGTGCCAGAAGTAATTTTATTCTTTTATATAGTATTCATATTTACTACAATGAACATTTAATGATAATATATTTTTTCTTTTAGTTCTAGGGTTCATAAATATGATTCTGTTACTAACATGTTTCAGTGAAATTAGATCATTCACAATAGTTCTGTGGTTCAGTGTTCTCATTCAGCAAATGCTTTACACTAACTCTTTAACTCAGTGGTCACCAAACTTTTTCTTAAATGGCAAGAGGGCAAATATTTTAGGTTTTGAAAGCCTTCTAGTCTCTGCCACTACTACTCAATGCTACTGGTGTACTGCTAAAGCACCCAAAGGACAATACTTAAACAAATAAGTGTGGCTATATTCCAACAAAATTTTATGTGATGGGCAAGATTTGTCCAAAGGGCCATAGTTTGCTGACAATACTTTAACTTCATAACTACTATCACAAACACAAAGTTCCTTTTACTGACACAGTTCAATCTCACCTTTGTAACATCCTTGACAGATAGATACTAACCATATTTGACAGAAGACAAGACTAAGGCTCAGAGAGAGGAAATATCTTGTCTAAGATAACACAGCCCTTCGAGTGAGTTGTTAAATTCACTTCCCAAGGGAGATGTCAAATCTTCTGTTGCCTGAAAAGCTGTACATATATAAATACTAATTTAAAACTTTCTGGGGGAATTTGTTCCTTAGAAGACTATTACTCTGATTTATCTTGGAAGATAAACAAAATCAAACTTTAATTTATCCTTTGCAAAAAAATATCATGCATTAGATTCTTTAAAGAAAAATTCCCCTGCAGACTGACTGAGTCAAAGGCCTCAATGGAGGTTTAAGGGATATCTTTGGATTGCTTTTGTGTAAGGAGGAAATGCAACTGGGAGGGAATGTTTCTTTATCCTTTGTAAGCAGTCTCCCAGGAGCTTGGCACTGGACCACAGGGGATGAAGATGCCCAGGTTCTCTGTATCCACAACCAAGAAGGCTGCATGATCTCAGACCTGCATTGAGAGGCACATGGTCACGTGTAGCTGAAGACTTACCAATGTTAATTTCATCATCAGTCAGAGTGTCTCCAATGAAATCAAACTGAAAGGACTGCAGCGTCTGTGAAAATTTCTGAACAGCTGAGGAATAATCTGAAAAGGAAGGGAAAGAGGAGAAATGGTCAACACTGCTGTCTTTTCATTGATTTCCTCATCTCTGTTAGGGCAGATAGGAGAAAAGCATGAGGAAGTGCTGCCAGCACATAAAAACTAGCATTGAATGAAGTTAAGTAAAAGATTAGACCTTCAGTAGAAGATTTGAACAAGTAAAACCACACACTAAAGAAGAAGGAGGGAAGCTTAGTGAAATCCTTCTTTAAGTTATGGGATAGGTTTTATCCTCAATCCCTGTGCTCTCTGACCTGTTCTACTCAAAGCCTGTAAGAGTTAAAGCTACTTAGTTGTACAACTAAAAGAGTCTCCTTAAGCATTCATTGAGCACTGTTATGGGCAATGGACTTGCTTTCTCACCTCTTGCCAAATATTTACAATCATCCTACAAAGAAAAATTTAACTCCATGTCTCAGAGCTAGCTGGAAGAGCTGGAACTAGAAGCCAGGCAGTCCATCTGCCTCTGCAGGGCCCTTTCAACGACAATAGAGGCGCCATTTGGAGACTATAACATGAACCAGATGACAGCTTGGGTTAGGATACTATCTGGCAAAGGAACAAATTTAACTTGCTCACAGAATATTCACCTAAGGACCTAAATTAAGGAGAAAATGAATGAAAATACTGAGAGTGCTATGGCCAGACAAATGTAATTTTTTTTGGTTAGTGATTTTTAAATTAATTATACAAAATTTTAATGATGGTGTAAAATTTCATCACAATTGAGTGACGTCAGCATGATGGCAGACAATAGCAAGTGGAACCTATGATAAGGGGCAGCAAGAACCACAGGCAAACTGGTGGCCCAGCTGCCAGTGGTGGTACCCCCAACATCAGCTTTATCAGCAGCAGGGGCTGCATACAAGTCCCCAGGCTTCTGGGCCCGGGCAGCAGCAGCAACACCCATGAAACCAGCAAACTGGGCAGCAGTGCAACAGCAGCCTGAGACAACCTGGAGGCAGCAGCATAGCTGGTGCATTGAGTGGCAGCATCCGAGCCTATGGAGAGCCAGTGGAGGAACAAGATACCCAGGAGACCCAGGAAGCAGCAGAAGTGCTGGGATGCTGGTGACCCCAGTAGCGACACCTGAGACTACACTGACATTGTAAGCAACACAGCACCAGCAAACTCAGAGGCACCAGCAGTACAATGAGAGTACTGACAATGCCTCTAGCAGGGGCAGTGGGTGGTGGGAATTGCAAGCCCTCAAACAAAACTGGAAGTAGCTCAGAACAAAAGTAACCAAAGTCTTATGCAAAGAAGAAAGGTGGTTACTACCACAAATACACAAGCAGAGGTTCAATTCCTCAAGTACCGTGTGAAACTACAGTAACATGACAGAACAAAAGAATGAAAACTCTCCAGAAAACAAACCTGAAGTCACAAAACATTATAGTCTAACTGACAGAGAATTCAAAATACCTGTCATAAAGAAACTCAATGAGTTACAAGAAAACTCAGAAAGATAGTTCAGTGAGCTCTGGAATAAAATTAATGAACTGAAGGAATACTTCACCAAAGAGATTGAAATTCTAAAAAAAAAAAAAACAGAAATTCTGGAGATGAAGAACACAATAAATGAGATAAAAAATAATGAAGAAAGCATTAAAAATAGAGCAGACTTATGGAGGAGAGAATTAGTGAGCTTCAAGATAAAAAGCCAGAAACGATTCAGGTGGAGGAGGAGAGAGAACTAAGACTTTTAAAAAATTAAGAAGTTCTTTGAGAAATATCTGACTCAATTAGGAAAAGTAACATAAGGATTAAAGGTAGCCAAGAAGGAGAAGAGAGGGAGAAAGAAACAGAGAGCTTATTCAAAGAAATAATAGCTGACAACTTACCAAACCTGAGGAAGGAACTGGACATGAAAGGACGTGAAGCTAAAAGAACTCCTAATTAGCTCAATGCAAAAGAACCTCCTCCAAGGCATATAATATTAAAACTGTCAAAAGTCAATGACAAAGAAAAAATATTAAGGGCAGCAAGAGAGAAGAAAATAACCTACAAATGAATCCCCATCAGGCTTTTAGGAGATTTCTCAGAAGAAAGTCTACAGGCTAGGAGAGAGTGGAATGATATATTCAAAATATTGAAAACTAAAACTATCAGTCAAGAATACTCTTTCAGCAAAAATTATCCTTCAGATACAAAGGAGAAATAAAACTTTCCCAGAACTAAAAAAAACAGAAGGAGTTCATCACCACTAAAACTGCCTTACAAGAAATGATGAAGGGAGCCCTACCTGAAACAAAAGACAAAGGTTTACAAAGCTTTGAGCAAGAAGGTAAATAGACAAAATCAGAAAATTTCAGCTCTGTATCAGACTAGGTTAGCAAACTCTAACTTATAACATAAAAATAAGGGAAAAGAAAACATCAAACAACCATAATCACTTCAATTTGGGCACAGACTCAAAACACAAAAAGGAATAATTTATGATAATAAACACATAGAAGGGGAAGAGGAAAGGGAGGGAACCTGAAAAGTCTAATGGATATAAGATTCCATCAGAAAAAGGACTATCTCATCTACGAGATCTTTTATACAAACCTCACGGTAACTACAAAAGAGAAAATCAGAGCAGAGTCACAAATCATAAAAAAAGAGAAAACTATCATAGAAAACCACCAAGTTGAAATGGGAGACAAAAAGAAAAAGAAAAGAACCAATGGAACTATAGGACAACCAGAAAACAAAAGATAAAATGGCAGTATTAAGCCCTCATATAACAATAATCTCTCTAAATGTAAATAGACTGAACTCTCCAATCAAAAGACAGAGAGTAGCTGGATGGATGAAAAAACAAGACCCCACAATATGCTACCTCCAGGAAACAAGTCTCAGCTCCAAAGACAAACATACACTCAGAATGAAGGGATGAAAGATGATAATCCAAGCAAATGGCAAGCAACACAAAGCAGGTATAGCCATACTTAAACCAGACAAAGTAGACTTGAAGATAAAAGAGACAACAAGAAACAAAGTTGGCATTATATAATCATAAAGGGGACAACCAGGAAGAAGACATAGCATTCATCAATATACATGCACCAAACACAGGGGCACCAGAGTATATGAAGTAACTATTAACAGACTGAATTGGTGAAATGGACAGCAACACAATAACAGTAGAAGACCTCAACACACCACTTACATCAATGGGTAGATTATCCAGACAGAAAGTCAACAAGGAAAGAGTGGCCTTAAATGAAACACTAGAGTAGATAGCCTTAATAGATAAATATAGAATGTTCCAACCCTAAACAGCAGAAAACACATTCTTTTCAAGTGCATGCAGAACATTCTCAAAGATAGACCACATGTTGGGAAACAAAGAAAGCTTCAATAAATTTAAGAAGGTTGAAACATGTCAAGCAACTTTTCTGACCATAATGCTTTGAAACTAGAAATCAACTACAGGAAAAAAGCTAGGAAAGTGAGAAATATGTGGAGACTAAACAACATGCTACTTAACAACTATTGGATCAATGAAGACATCAAAAGAGAAATAAAAAAATACCTACAGACAAATGAAAATGAAAACACAAAATACCAACTGTTATGGGATGCCACAACAGGCACTAATAGGGAATTTATAGCAGTACAACACTACTTCAACAAAGAATAAAAATTTCAAATCAACAAGCTTATCCTATACATAAAAGGACAAGAAAAAGAAAAATAAACAACGCCCAAACTCAACAGAAGGAAATAAACAACAAAAATCACAGCAGAAATAAACAAAATAGAGACTAAAAATAACAATAGAAAGGATCATTAAATCTAAGAACTGGTTCTCTGAGAAGACAAAATTGACAAACCCTTAGACAGACTCACTAAGAAAAAAGAGAGAGGACTCAAATAAACAAAATCAGAAATGAAAGAGGAGAAATTACAACCAACACCACAGAAATACAAAGGATTAAAAGAAATAGTGTGAAAAGCTATGTGCACAAACCGATAACCTAGAAGAAATGGATAAATTCTTAGAATCATATGACCTCCTAAATCCAAATCAAGAAGAAACAGAGAATCTGAGCAGACAAATCACAAAGACATTGAAACAATCATCAAAAACCTCCCCCTAAACAAAAGTCCAGGACCAGACGGTTTCTCTGGTAAGTTCTACTAAACACTCAAAGAATTAGTTCCTATCCTTATCAAACCATTCAGAAAAATTGAAGAGGACGAGATGCTTCTTAACTCGTTTTACAACCAATATTACTTTGATACCAAAATCAGAGAAGGACAACACAAAAAAGGAAAATTACAGGCGAATAACTCAGATGAAGATAGATGCAAAAATCTTTAACAAAATATTAGCAAATCTAATATAAAAATATATTAAAAGGATACTACACCACAATCAAGTGTGATTTATTCAAGGGATGCAGGGATGGTTCAATATCCACAAATCAATCAATGTGGTAAACAACATTAAAAAAATGAAGAATAAAAATCACATGATCATCTCAATAGATGCAGAGAAAGCATTTGACAAGATCCAACACCCATTTATGATAAAAAAAAAACTCTCAATAAAATAAGTATAGAAGGAAAGTACCTCAACATAATAAAGGCCATATATGACAAAGCCACAGTCAACATCATACTCAACAGTGAAAATGAAAGCTGTTTCTCTGAGAACAAGAAGAAAACAAGAATGCCCACTCTTGTCACCCTTATTCAAAATAGCACTGAAAGTTTTAGCCAGAGCAATTAGGCAAGTCACAGAAATAAAAAAGATCCAAAGGAAGAAGTAAAACTCTCACTATTTGTGGATGACATGAGTCTATATGTAGAAAACTCTAAAGAATTCACCAAAAAACTATTAGAAATAATCAACAAATACAGGACAGTTGCAGGATACAAAATCAAATTACAAAAACCAGTTGCATTTCTATACAATAATAATGACCTAGTAGAAAAAGAACTCAAGAATACAATTCCATTTACAATCACAACAAAAGAAATAAAAATCC